CCTTGACTAAAATAAAATAAATATTTTTTTATTATTATTTAATAGGTAAAATTAGCCAGTTTTTCTGACAGTTTATTTTTGTAACAACCCACAAACAGTCATTGAAAAACCCATTACTCAGTCATTAAAATTCTCCATTACTCTCTGAACATAGTGGAGACTGTTACTTCCATCTTACCTATATAAACCCATATCTCGTTTTGAGAAAAACACACACAAAAAGAAAATAGAAAAACCATCTTGCATCAATCCTCCTTTTCATATTCTGAATTTCTTATACTCGGATTCTTACATATATTCTGGAGTACAATTGAGAGTTTTGGAAAAATCATTCGTGATTGTTGTACAAGTGGTTTACGATCGTTGTATCCTGGGAGTGATTGTCCACGGAGGTCGCAACAATTATCGACGGGCAATTTCACTTTAGGATATCGTGTTGTCACGAGACTCGATCGGACGATAAGTTTTATATTTCTGCATTTTATTGCTCTGATCATTACTACAACTAATTATTTTTCCAACACTATCCACATATCTAGTCCTGCTTTACCAAACATAATCCCTGGTACAACCACTGTGTGTATGTTTATCTTAGTGCAAAGTTGATCAAACCTTTAATTGTGGAATTGTTGAATTCAATAATGGCAACAAAGGATGAATAACAATTTCGAATGTCCAATCATATTTCTAGTTATTTTACATGATATATCATGTGAAAATGCAAGAGAGAATCCTTTTTATCCCTTATATTGCAGGCGCATTGTCTACTATCATTTTGTTTCTTAACATAATCTAAGAAAAACAAAACAAAAAGAACATCAGGAAGTTCCAGTTTAGGTGCTCACGTGCAAACTCCTCCATTCAAATTGTATCAATCGTGACTATTTGCTCATCCAATAGAGTCAAGATCCTCAGTCCTGCTGCACACGATTCTGTTGAACACTTCTCTAACCAGGCGATCCAATGGATCCAATCCATCCTTTATAGCTTCAGACACCTTTCCTAAATCCTTTACTCTCTGTCCGGCTTCACTCTCATTTTCTTCTGTCAAGGGGAACTAGAAAGAATAGATCAATTCATTCATGTGTTGTGCTCATTTCTCGATCTCTTGAATCTCCTTCAACAACCCACAAGCATTTTTCTGGTCTCGTTGCTTCAACTCTTCCAAAATCCTCTAATGGAGGGAGAGCATAGGAACTGCCTAGTTACAGAAAAGTGAGTCTGAAGGCCACGGTCTTGACATGGGATTGCAGCCATGAGAGCAAACATTACGAATAAAAGCACATAACTCATGGTGAAAATGCCTACGTTTGGTCCATTGGTGGCCATAACCTCATTACCCCTCAGAGCAACCATATTGTTTCCTAGTGCTTGTAATTTCTTAGCAGCCGACCACGACGGTGAGACACTCCAGGAAAGTGATCGGATATGGCCAAATGACTTAACTCTGCACATTGTTGCACCCAAAGGACATATTTCTACACGCAGAAGCCATATTCGACTCTTTCTCTTCAAGCATCCCAATAGTCAAATCGATCAATGCCTTCGTAGCACGACGAATCTATCCTTCACCAATGCTCGTTTGATTGTCCAATGAGCATGAAACAATCTTCAACTGCTTTTGCCATTGTCTAATGTGCTCAATCCCGTCACGAATTGCATTACAAACATCAAAACCCTTAACACTCCTCTAAAAAAACTCATTCATATATCGATCCATGGGGACTTTATTCAAGAATCCCTTATTATTAAAAATAATTGTTGGGAAATATTTCAACACCAGGGGAATGAAAAAGAAGCAAGATAGAAAATATATCAAGAAGATGAAAACGAATATGAAGGCTTGAACGCGATATCGTTGTCCTCAAACAATATTTGCCCCTCTCGGATACAATTTCGGTGCTCAAAGGGTTCTCATGGCAAATGATTTGCAGGATTAATCAAACCTTATAGAGAATTTAATACTTAAGCATCGGTGTAATTCTCTAAAACTTTAAGAACACAAGGAGAAATTTTGAATATGAAAGGAAACAAGAATTCGATCTTTGTTTTGTGGAAATGAATATTGATATCAAGTGTTTTTCAATTGTGATTTCTTGATTCACACACACACACATATATAGCCCTCAAAGAATGCCATACGAAGTGGTGTTAGAAGTTCTCGAAAAGCCATCAAATTTAAATTGTTAACGGCCATAAACGATCAATTCATCCTTCTGTACGATCACATAGAACAAATCTATGTGGTCACATAGATCACAAAATGGCAGAGCTTCAAATTTCTATGAACTCAGTATCTATGGGTACCTTCCAACTTTGAAAAAAGGGGGAATCACTCTACTTCCTAGATGATATATATTTTGGTCGACTAGATCTAGATATTGTACAAATACTTTCTATTACTCTATTTATTTGAGTATCTCAGCCAAATTAAAAATTTTTAGAAGTTCATTGTATTTAATCAATAAAATTCCCTCTTTTTTGTGTTTTTTTTTGTCCACTACTTATTATATTATTTTATATTAGGTCAATTTTATGGCTTTTGATTCCATTTTTCGTTTCATTCCACACATCTCACTTATTGATTTTGAACAACAATTCTTCATCAATCCCCCACTCGTTCAAAAATTCAGTAAGTCTCATATTCACATTTAACAATACTTATACATAAGGATTAGATATATTTCGATTTGAATCTAATCTTAGTGTAATTCAAACAAAGTAAAGTTAGAATCAAATGTAGCGTGAAGTTTTGAACCAGTTATTCTATGTGACATATCGGAAGAACATGCACACAAGTATCACATTTTATCAAGTTCCTTAAACTCACTTAACGTTAATATGGTCTTGCACTTATCATTTTCAACAAACTTTTAAGAGAGAAATTCCAACTCAATATTGAGGCGGCATCATCTTGAAGTTCATTTAGGTGAAGTTCTTCCAATATCTTTGTTACTTTTAGATATACTTGTATTTTAGTACTGAACTTCATTAAGTGCTTAAAACTCAACCCTCAATCCAGTGACAACCTGTATTATTTAATTAGGATAGGGTTATCGTGGATTTATATAAAACTAAAACTATCCACATATCGAATGACTTATTATTACCCTTTGCAACTGTGGATTACCTTTTGAGTAATGACAGGTAGCATTGCCATCATTGGTGGACCTTTTAGTATAAAAGTTTCAACCCCATCCCACTCGATGTAGACCTACTAAATCTCTATTTAGAAGTTTAGTTAAAGAACGTTCTCGATTGAATTTACATAATTTAGGGAATTATTCCATTTTTGTTTAATTTCCTTATGAAGTCATGTTTAAGACTTATATATATACACTGTTCATTACATGTGGCTTAGTATCTTATTAAACGTAGCTAGCCAATGATCGATTCAATTAATAGATACAACTTGTTACCACCAATAAATCCTCTTATGAAGCTATATGCTTCTCACTTACTTTATCTAAAGCTTTATGGATTTCCAAAGATGGTTGGAGGATTTCAATCAAATCATTATACTAGTCAATCACTTTTACTAGTGGATTTCATGCATGGGTATTTAATTCTCATCATTGATTCATTACAATGATCTTCAATTTTATGAATATTCTGATTGCTTTTGCAAACACCATAATAGGCTTTCACCCCATTGAAGGAGCTAAGGGTTGAAATAAGGGATTTTGAAAAAGAAAAATATTTGGGAGGATATGGTGATCTTATTGTTTAAGCGTAGATAACATGAAGCATACATGGACTTCTCTTTTCATTTTTTACTTTTATAATCTTTGTATCTTTGGTATAAAAAAATATGAAGATGTAATATTGGTATTAAGATATTAAGTAGATTATCATGTGCAATTTCCTCTATTTAAATGTGACAAAAAAGAAAAAATTATGCTCAATTTCGATTTTAGCCCAGCAACTTCAATTCTCCCAACCCATATTTAAGGATCATTTATTAAAAAATGTGGAAATTACATCAAATCCTGATCATTATTCTAAAAACAGGGAGGAGGTTTCATTATTCACAAATAAGATATTTCATATTCAAATATTAGATATACAAATTCCATCCTAATTAATTAGGGTATGTTCTCTTTGCTGTTTTTAGGCCATTTTCTATTTTTAATTTTCAAAAACACTGAAAACATGTTTACTTATCTATTTTCATAAAAGAATTTTGGAAAACGAGTTTAAAATTTACAAAGAAAACAGAAAACGGCAAAAATTTCATTTTGGCCGTTTTCAATTAAACCAAGCCAAAATGCGGAAAACGGTCAATTTTGCAAATAGTTGGATAGCTTAGTTGGTTGAGTCACCGATTTTATAAATTGCAATTCAATACATAAGAATTTTCTTTTTATATGCACAGTACAAAAATTTTTCCAAATAAATTGGTAGGCCAGCATATTCGAACGCAGGTCATAAGCATGAAATTCAATGCCTTAATAAGCATGGAATTCAATGCCTTAACCACAATGGTAGCTGCTTTTCTTTTTCTTGACAAAAAAAACGCATTTTTAGCAATATCAAAATGTACACAGAAGCACAAAATCAAAAATGAATTCAAAACTAAAAGAATTATTCTTGTTGTACACGGTAGTTCACACGGTCCTTGACAAAAGGAGGTGGAATTGTTGATTAAAATATACACAAGTTGGCAAGTTGGCAACCACTAAACAATTAAAAACTATTTCCTCCTTTATCTTTCCTCCCTACCCGACCCTATACCCACTAAACAAGACAAGAAATCTTCAGCTTCGAACAAGGCGCGAACTGGGTAAATCTTCAGCTTCGAACAAGGCGCGAACTGGAGGACGACTCTTAGGTGCGAACGGTTCTTACCCTCTTCGAGCGAAATACGGCCCATTTTCTCCAAATTTCACCATTTGCAGTGCCTACAAATTTCAGACAGATATTGGAAACAGTTATTCAAAAATGGCCGACAAAGGTAATGGGTATTTTCCGATTTTAAAATTTCTGTAATGTCGGCTAGAATGGTGGTTTTTATTCTTGAGTTAATCACAAACTTGTGTTCATTTTTTGTTGTGAAAATTAATTTTACTGTAAAGCAAAAGGTTAAAGATTTTAAGAAAGTTTGACAATCAATGAATCTGCCCATATTTTATGAGTTTTCTAGCAATGGTGTTTCGTATGCATTTTTAAAGCGTCTCTGCTCCTTCTTGTTGGTAGTTTAACACTCCGTTCAAACGATCAAAAGCTACTCCTGTAGCATCCCTAGCGAATCCGCCATTTATGCGTAGAAGGGAGCCCCAGTTGAAATTTGTTTATGGGAATTGAAAGGAAGGTGATATACAAAAATGATATGAGATTACAACAAATCTACCAGATCTATACAATATGAACGGCAATTTGGCCCTATAAATGCATTTTCTCGTGCAGTTTGTTGCATAATTTTGTCCTTTTATAACCTGTGTGTTGGTGGGGGGTATGAACTGATTCAATTCAGAAACCATTAATTTTTGGTCCAATGTTGGTTGACATTATTTTTAGAGAGAAAGTTACATTATTTTTAGAGAGAAAGTTACAGGTTGGTTAAATCATTATTGCAACTGATTTTACGTTTACGGTTGCAGGGAAAAATATGTTGGAGAATTTGGATGACATTGTCTTGGTAGAATCTGAGTCTGAGAATGTCGTGGAAAAAGTGAACATATTGGGTGATGAAATTGTAGCAACAGATGATGTGCCTTTGCGAGTGCCCGAGGTTGGAATGAAGTTCAATGATGAAAATGAATTGTTTGACTACTACAAAAAATTTGCGTATGCCGAAGGTTTTCCATTCAGGAAAAGAAATTCCAAAAAGGATGACGATGGTATTGTGAGATATGTGACATTGACTTGTAGTCGTGAAGGAAAAAGAAGTAGTACTACAATTGGTTCTTTGAAACCGCAACCAACCATTCAGACAGGTTGTAAGGCGAGGTTGACTGCATCTATGGACAGTCGCGGAATATGGAGAATAAACATAGTAAATTTGGAGCATAATCATAAAACAAGTCCATCCAAGTCGAGACTATATCGATGTAATCGAGAGTTGAGCGCTCATGTTAAACGGCGGCTACAAGTTAATGATATGGCAGGAATTCCATTACATAAAAGTTTCAACTCTGCAGTAGTCGAAGCAGGTGGATACGAAAATATGGCGTGCATGGAAAAGGATTGTCGAAACTATATTGAGCAAGTTCGGCGTCTGAGACTTCGAGAAGGGGATGCTGTAGCAATACAATCATACTTTTCGAAAATGCAAGCCACTTGCGCCCCGTTTTACTTCAGTATGGATTTGGACGAAGATTCGAGGCTAAAGAATGTGTTTTGGGCAGATAATAGGAGTAGGCAGGCGTATAAAGAATTTGGTGATGTCGTCACATTCGATACCACATACCTCACCAATAAGTATGACATGCCGTTTGCTCCTTTTGTTGGAATTAATCATCACGGACAATCTACTCTGCTTGGATGTGGGCTGGTCTCGAATGAGGATACAGATACATTCGTCTGGCTATTTAGGACATGGCTGCAGTGTATGCATGGAAAAGCTCCCCAGGGTATAATTACTGATCAAGACAAGGCAATGCAGAATGCAATTGCAATTGTGTTCCCCGATACGAAACATAGATGGTGTTTGTGGCATATATTGAAAAAGTTACCGGAGAAGTTTGGATATCACGTGGACAAGGGTTCAATATTTCATGCTATACACGGTTTGGTTTACGATTCACAATTTGTTGAAGAATTTGAAGATGGCTGGAGGGTAATGATTGGTACATATGATTTGTATGATAATGCATGGTTGTCCGGACTGTACGATAACAGATGTCGATGGGTTCCAAGTTATTTTAAAACCAGCTTCTAGGCAGGAATGTCCACAACTCAACGCAGTGAGAGTACGAACGCGTTCTTTGATGGCTATGTGCATTCAAAGACTTCGCTAAAGCAGTTTGTCGAACAATATTAGGAAGTCTGGTTCATCCAGTTTTTCATTGTAGGAGTATCGTTAAGTTTAAAGGCACAATTAGTCTTTGCTGAACCAAAATTTCCTTGCTACTTCATTTTTGGTGACTCGTTAGTGGATAATGGAAATAATAATAATTTGAATACCAGTGCAAATTTCAATTATTTGCCTTACGGAATTGATTTTCCACAAGGGCCGACTGGGAGATTCACTAATGGCAAGAATATAGCAGATTTGATAGGTTACTCTTCTCATTTTCCTTTACTTACATCATGTTTTCTATGAACAAGCACGTCCTTGTATACTTTCAAGAAAAGAGGCATTTGTTTTGAGTAAAATTTCTTGACAGGTGAACTTTTGGGGTTTGAAAATTTTA